GCAGGAACAGGTCCCCATTTCCCACGCTGGGTTGCCCAAGATCCTTTGAACTGCGCCAGCCAGATTCTTGACAGCGGCACGTTTCAACAGTACACAATCACTTTTGCCAAGCGCCTAGTCCCAATCCAGATTTGAAGTTTTGCCATCGCGGGCCTGACCCTGATGATGCCAGAAGCAAGTGCCCCCCCCCCTCGCCTGCTTCTCCCGCCTGCCTCCCTCCGTCCACCGCGCGCTCGCCACCCTCCCGGCCGGGGGCCCGCCCAAAAAAACAGCGGGCGCTCGCAAAAAAACATCGGGGCCCGCCAAAAAGCCGCGGGGTCCCCGGATCGCGGCCCAAACATCATCTGCTGCGCTCAGGCATGGGGTGCTCTAGGTGGTTCGTGGCGGACCCCGGCGGTCCTCGAACGTTCCCGCAAGCTTTCGCAGGTCATCTGAAGTACTCGAAAATTGCTGGGGGTGTTCGAAAGATGTTCGGGAACCTCTTCGCGCAATCGAAGATGTGTGTTCCTTTCTGGGGAGGAACCAACAACCATCAACCAACAAGTCTGACGAGGCACATCCAAGGCCGCGAATGGTGATGTACTTCCTGATAAAGATGTACATGGTGCACCCACATGTAAGCAATGCCTGCGTCGGAACACAGACGCCTTATATGGGCGTAACAGTCTGGGATTCGATCGTGTCAGTTTACGGCTAACAAAATAGCGGGGCGCGCATTTAATCAATTGCTTCCTCTGCTCGGGCGAATCGCAAAAGGGAAACGCCCGCCAAATGGAAACACACGGAGGCGGCGCTGGTGATTAGCGCCGACACTTGGCCGACAACAGGCCGACGACAGGCGCAACGCAAGCGGCGCCGCTTCAGCGGGGGGGGACAGCAGCGCCTCCGCTATAACGGGGAGGTTGGGCAAAAAGGTTGCAAACAGGAGAGCCAGATGATGCGGAGGAAAGAGGCGCCTCAGCTGGCGGGCGGCGCCGACGTAGCTACAAACACGAATGAGAAGAGGGGGAGGAGCGGCAGAGTTAGGAGGAAAGGGCTCCTCATGTTCCTTTTCCCCCTGCCCCCCATCCTCCACTACAGTATCCTACGACGACGGTGGCGACGACGACGACGGCAACGGCGATGGCAGACGACGACGCACTGCGGATGCTCTGAAAAAGAAAGGGTCGATGGGGGTGCTGCGCATGCCTGCTGCAATCGTCGACGACAACGAAGACAACTCCGACGACGACGACGAAGGCGGCGACGATGACGAAAACGGCGACGACGACAACGGACGTCGACTCAATGCGGATGCCCCACAGGGGGTGCTGCGCTGCGAGTCCCGCGCTACAGCCGACGACGACAACGACGACGATGACGACGACGACAACGCACCGCGGATGCCCGATGGGTGGGGGGCGGGGTGTTGCGCAGGCCCGCTGGAATCGACAGCGACAACGACGACGGCGACGGCAACAACGACGACGACGAGACGACGTCGACGACGACGACAACGACGACGACAACCTCGACGACGACGGCGACGAGGAGTACGAGTACGAGTACGACGGCGATGACAACGCTGACGACGACGAAGACGAAGACTACGACTGTGGCACGTCAGTAATCAGCCTGGGACGGGGGAACAACTTCGCGTCTGATGTATAGGGTCCATATAACTTCTATACGCAAGCCGATCGTTTTGAGGCTACCTTGCAGGTGGGCACACGATCCCCTCGGCGGCGCTCCGCGACGAACCCCCTTGCGCGCATTTTTTTTTAATGGTGTCGCGCCCCGCGGGGTCTATTCATCAGCCTTGGGGAGGGGGGTGCGTCCATCATTTGCTAATCACAAGCTGACATTACGGGCCTGCTTGAGCTGTTCAATTGCGTGTCGCCCGTACTTTCGTCGGCCTGTAGACCCTGATGGTCCCCAAAGAAAGCGAAGCATTCCCCCAAACCCTCCCGTCGTGTGTTTTCCTCGACGAGAAGGGGGGGGGTGTCGGCTTGGGGCGCGCCAGTGGGGAAACAACCGGATACAGATACCGCCACTCACTGGACCTTTCATGGGGCGCGAGCTGACGAAGATTCCGAATCGAATCCAGCCGTGACGACGATGGCTCCCCCAAGGAGGAGGCCCAGGAGGGCGAACACGATGGAATGGCAGCGGCAGCGGTATCACTGGCGCCTCCAGGGCAGGCCTGTTGTTCCTGCCTCCCCATGGCCTTGTGGATGCCATGACAATGGACACTCGAACAATCCTGTCATTGAATGAAAGATGTGTATACAATGTGTAAAGCATCGGTAAAAAAAACATATTTCAAACATGTTTCTAACATGTTTCAAAACATGTGGGAAACATCTTTTAGGCATCTGGAAATTATTTGGCTGCATGCTTCTTCTCCATTAATCGACTTCCACAACCATGGCCCTCTTAGAGTGGCCGGCCGACCGGGGGCCTTGAAGTTGTTCATCGGAATCTCGAAGGACGGGGCGCCCGGCACCAGCAGGCGCTGGCCTGTAGCGGGGAGGGCCCGGGCGGCGAGGGCGGGCGGCCAGCTGTGAGCCCCTACAGGTCAGATCTCTGAAGCAGTGGCGCGTGCCAGGGAGCTTCGTCCCGTTCTTCTTCGACCCCCTCGAAGGGTGAGTTTACCCCTTCCCCCTTCCGATCCCCCCTCCGAGGTGTCAGATCCTTCAGATAGCCACCGGAGTGCCAAAGATGCCCCCCAAGCTCGCGCAGGATAGCCGAAGGATGTCGGCAGCAAGATGAAACCCAACGGGGAGGGCAAAACCCCGGGGCCGACTGGACCCACATGGGGTACACTCATCGCGCTAGCAGAACAGCCGTTGAAAAAGGAACGAAAGGGCTCGCTGTCCACCGATCAATCCCACTACTAGAACCCAAAGAACGGCCCGAAAACCAGAGCCGCTCCAGAGCCTGAGGTGGTCTTGATTTAGAGGCCTCCTAACTTGTGTCCGAGCAGAAGGGGGTCGGAGGATCGCGCCACATCGCCGATGCATCGGCGACGTCGGCGATGCATCGGCGTTTCTACATCGGCCGCATCACCGATGCATCGGCGATGCGGCGCGATCCTCCGACCCCTTCTACTTGGACACCATCTGGGAGGCCTAGGTCCTAGCTGATTTTGACATCTTGATTGCACGTTTCGCAAGTGGGTCGCATTGCAGGGGCATCGCAGCGGACGGAAGCGGAGGAGGAGGAGGAGGAAGAGGACGAGTAGGTGGAGGAAAGCTGACCCCTGGGAACGATGTGGAAGCAACCCCTCTACCTACTGAGTTGGAGGAAGAGGAGGAGGAGGAGGAGGAGGAGGAGGAGGAGGAGGAGGAAGAGGAGGAAGAGGAGGAGGGGATGCGGCCGAGAGAGCCCCCTCCGCGACTCTCTCGCGGCGACGGGGAAGAGGAGCACACGAGCACCGGGAGAGGGCCCGCACGTGCTCCCGAGGCGACGTGCGCGGCACGGTGGGCTCGTGCTGTGGCGCCTTCCGCGGTGGCCTCGGACACCGCGTGGATCGTTCAGCCTTGGAAGGTCGTGCCTCTGCGATCGCACAGGGCCTTCTTGATCTTTGTCGGGGATGGACAGACCTCCCCTTAGTAAAACGTGGTTTAGTGAAGGCGACCTGAGGCCCAAACCTGGCGGGCGCGAGCCTGGAAAATAACGGCCGCAGCGCCCTCTCGAGAACCGAAAAAGGACAATTCACTAATCGACGTGTCACTGTTGGGGGTTCTGCCCACCCCCGACTTTGGAGGCCTGGAGATGGGCACCAACACCGACGCAGGGGCTTGCCTCCACGGGGGGAAGATGATCCTAGACTCCGGTGTCGGTGGTGGTATTTCGGCCACCTTGGAAGCCAGAACAATGCCACCATCACCGAGATCGGGATCTTCTTCCCTCGGTGGAGGCACACCGCCGATGCTGGTGCTGATGTCGACCTCCAGGCCTGCGAGATCTCGGCCGATCCCGGGCCGCCGGCAGCGCTCGGGGCCGCCGCGCGTGCCGACGCGGCACGGAGCTGCCGAGCCACCAGGCTTCGCAAGAGACGCGGTGCCAGACACTGCCTGCACCAGGGCCAGGGCCCCTCGGCGCCCCCCGGCCCCGAGGGCCAGGCCGCGAGGGCCCCCCCATCGCTGGGCAGCGCCTGCCCTCGGAGCACGCCGACCCAGCCCGGAGCCCCGAGTGTCGCCCGAGCTGCGGGTCGGGGGCGGGGCGCGGGCTTCACAGGTCTTTTCTCGGGGATGGACAGACCCCCCTTTAGTAAAACGTGGTTTCGTGGCCTCGGACACCGCGTGGATCGTTCAGCCTTGGAAGGTCGTGCCTCTGCGATCGCACAGGGCCTTCTTGATCTTTGTCGGGGATGGACAGACCTCCCTTTAGCAAAACGTGGTGTAGTGAAGACGACCCGAGGCCCAAACCTGGCGGGCGCAAAGCCTGGAAAAGAACGGCCGCGGCGCCCTCTCGAGCACCGAAAACGGACAATTCACTAACTAATCGACGTGTCGCTGTTGGGGGTTCTGCCCGCCCCCGATTTTCAGTGCTCCCCGACCCCCCCCCCCCAGAAGTAAGTGGAGGCTGCCTCGGGGCCTTCCGCGTGGGGTGGGGGGGTGGCTTGGCGGGCGGTGACTCTCGGCGGCCTCGCCACGAGAGGAGGTTTGGCGGCGAGCCGTGCAGAGGCACCCTGCGCTCGCGCTGGGCAACTGCCCCATGGGCCCCTCGATCCTCGCCCCCGGGCCCGAGGTCCTCGATCCTGGCTCCTCGACGCCCCCCTCTGCCTCGACCCTGGAACCCCGATCCCGGACCCTCCATCCTGGGTCGCTCCTCCCGGATCCTCGATCCGGATCGCTCCTCCTGGGCCTTCGATCCTGGACTTCTGTGTCCTCGACGCCGCCCTGGGCCCTGGGCGCCTGTGTAACTCCCCGCCGTGAAGCTCCGCTTGATCTCCGGCCTCTCGCCCTGGCGCCTCATGGGGGAGTCGTCGTCGGAAAGCACCGACCCCGCGCCGCGGTTCGTGCTCATGATGGCCACCGGGACCGACTTCGAGATGGCGTCGCGGCACTCGCTGTCCTGAACAGGGGAGGGCGCCGTCGCCTCGAGGCCGGTCACCGACTCCACGGGGGAGTCCACCTTGTCGGGGCTGTCCTGTGGACCAGCGGGAGAGGACGAAGGGAAGGAGGTGGAGGAGGACCAGCCTAACCCCCAGACGAGTCAACGATTTTGCACCGATTCCTCCCTCCATGTTCCCTCCTCACAGGTCCCTACAAGGATATATATATATATATAAATATATATACAATCATTGCTAGAAGTTGCTCATGAAAAGACAAATGTCTGAGAATCCCCAATCGTACTGGCATCTCAACACCGCGGATCAACATGATTGTTGCGCGCTGACAGATCCCAAATCGTGCCACAATGACGGTCCCAGGACCGCAACACCGCGATTCATCGTGATTGATGCGCCCTGACAATCCGAATGCACGCGGTGCTAGGGCAAGAGCCACATTTTGAACAAGAATTTCATACATCCTCGAAAGTGCTGCGAACTTTACAAAACGAATGCGCGCGGCGCTACAGCGAGAGCCACGTGTTGAAAACTACCTGTCCTCCATCCTTGAAGCTGCTGCGAAACAAACGCGCGCGGCGCTAAGCCGCTAAAGCGAACACATCATTTTGAAAACGACCCACGTTCCATCCGCGAAGCGGCTGCAAACTTTTAGGAAGAATGCCACGTTTTGAAAACGACCCGCTTTCCTCCCATGGACCCATTGCGAATTTAAAGTTCCAAGATCAGACAGTCAAAACGTGTATGAAGGACGGGTGGTAAGGACGCAAGACTCTTGGAGGCCGAAATTGGGATTTCTGTTGGGCGGCGGGTGACAAATGAAAACGGAATAGGACGGGCCGCAGAGGCAAGAACACACGGGCACCCTAGATCCTAGATGAAGGCGCGCGTCCTTACTAGGCGCATTGACTGGAGATAGTGATGGTATCATAGGAGACGCGCCCAGGCCGCCCTACCGATTCATCCAAGTTGTGCGAAAGGGATGACGCCTCTTTTGGAAGGTGGTTGATGCATCTAAGTGGTGCGAAAGGGAGGACGTCTCTTTTGGGAAGGTGGGCTGATAAGGAAAGAGGACGTATGAGGTATAAAGCATGATGGCAAGGGATGCAGGAAGAGGCAGAGAAGGAGGAAGAGGATGAGGAAGAGGAGGAATGCGAGGAAGGCGAACATGAAAGACAGCAAACATCTTAGGGGAGAAGATGACAGAGCAGCCCCTGACTCTCCCTCCCCGCGGCCGTCTTGGGCGGCCTTCGGGAGCAGGAGGCGGGGATGAGGGGGAGGATGAGGGGGAGGGGGAGGAAGGCAAGCTAGGTGCGCTCGCGTCATATCTGACATCCTACCCCTCCCTCCCATCCCTTACCATGGCGCAGATCCCCTCTCTACTCGCTCAGTCGGATATCGAGCAGGGCCATGATCCCGAAAGGGTACGCGATGCATTGTAGAGCACCACATGGCATGGCGTAGAAGAGCACCGCAAAGCGTAGCATCAACCTAGCATTGCATTGCATGCCGTGGCATGGCACGGGAAATGACGCCAGCGCTGCAGCGGGAGCACGAGTCGAAACGAGCGGAAGCGCGGAAATGAGGCCAGCGCTGCAGCGGGAGCACGATTCGGAACGAGCGGAAGCACGGAAATGAGGCCAGCGCTGCAGCGGGAGCACGATTCGGAACGAGCGGGGCCCGAAAATGAGGCCGGCGCCTCAGCGAGAGCAGCATAAACAAATGCAGGCGAAAACCCAACTCCGGGGAAACCTGTGTGTAAAAAACAGTACGCGGGGGGGGGGGTCGGCCACTTTCAAACCGTCATCAGGGGAAGAGGGAGAGTAGTATTCATGTTGAGTAATTGTTGAGGAAGGGGAGGAGAAGAAGAGGGGTGAGGGGGAGAGGGGAGGAAAGGGAGGAGGAGGAGAAGGAGGAGGAGGAGGAGGAGGAGGAGGAGAAGAGGGGTCAACGGGAAATGCGGGACTAATTGGTAGCTCGATGTGTCTTCTCTCGGAGGGAGAAGCTGGGGGCGGACGGTGAGATGGAAACACCATCTACCCCAGCCTGCCGCACAGTGCGACACGCACGATGGAACCCCGGTATGCGACACACGCGGGGGGGGCACATTGAGCGAACAGCCTTGAAGAGGCCCTGGGACACACAACTGAATACACACAAACGAAAGGATCCCCCATATTTGCTACATTTCCTGGGCTCTTGTCTGCCCCCCCCCCCACACTTCCTCTGTTTTCCTATATTTTCGGGGGGATCGACGATTACTTGTGTCTGTGTCTGAGGAGGAGGAGGAGGAGGAGGAGGAGGAGGAGGAGGAGGAGGAGGAGGAGGAGGAGGAGGGAGGAGGAGGGAGGAGGGAGGAGGAGGAGGAGGAGGAGGAGGAGGAGGGCAGGTGCACAGAGGGAGGGCACACGGAACTGGGCAAGGGACGGGGGGGGGCGGGCGCAGGCCGGCGCCTCTCCGGCTTCGGCCCCGACGAAGCAACACAATACGGCGGCGAGGCCCGAGGAGGAGGTCGGGCCCGTCTCCCTACGGGGCATTCTGGGCGAAAAACAAAAAATTACACAAGAAATGCTCCCAAATGTAAAAACAAGTCAAATCGTCCCCAGACTACACCCTGCGAAATGCTTAAGAAATCATGGGTTAAGAAATTCATAGTCTCAGAACTTGAATAAAAAAACCCAGCATTTCTATGAAAATCTTAGGATTTACATCGAAACGTTAAGGATAATCGAGACTCTGCCCGAAAACTTCAGTTTTCTTAAGCATCGCCTAAGGTGTACGGGGCATTCTGGGCGAAAAACAAGAAATTACACAAGGAATGCCCCCAAATGCAAAAACAAGTCAAATCGTCCCCAGACTACTGTTGGACTGCTTTTGAACTTCCCTCCTGTAAAGGTACAGGCCCGACTTGACCCCAGGACCGGAACCTGCGACTGCCACATGCGGACCCTCCAGAGAGGCCGCGGGCGGATCCAAGGACCGGAACTGGCCACACAGAGCCGAGGCACTATCAGAAGGAGCGCTAAATGAGGAGCGAGGCCCCTTCTTGGCCCCAGAAGCGCCTGGGTGCACGAGGAGTGATGGAGGAGGAGCCATGGAAGAGCTCAAGGAACAGCGAGCTCCTTCCGCACCCGAGGCGCTCCTTATTTCAGTGTCTTGGCTGTAGATTGGCTCTTCCAGCAAACGCCCTGGGCGTGTTGTTTTGTTTGTTTCTCTTGACCGTTTTGCACTCAAGCTAAAAAGCAACAAAAAGCACGCGACGTTCTTTTTTAAATATACCGTGTTTAGCTCAGTTTTTCCTTTTTTGCTGAAAATCGTTTTTGGGTCCGCCGCTGTGGATCATCAGTTCTGTTTGCGCTGCTCCCTTTCTGGTCGAAGGCTGTTCCTTGCCTTCCCTGCCGCCTTCACTCCCACTTTTCGTTTCTGCCGCCGTTCTCGCTCGCAGAGCTAAGATCGGGAGCGGCCAAGAGGGGGGTGTCCAAGAGGGGGGGGTGCAAATCATGACCGGCGGCATGTGCGCGGCCCAGCGGGGGGGCCAGGGACGTAATGAAACGAGAAGAGGCGCCATGAAATCTGGGGAAATATCATGGCCGACGCCATGATATCCACCCCCCCCTAGTCATCACCCCCCTCTCCCCCCTCTTTTCCGCCCCCGATAAGAACGCCACAAAACGCTCGAACACCGGTCTAACACGGGCCCGAACACAGGCCGGAGGCCCCAAGAGGAGCCACCGGCCATCGGGGGGCCGGAGGCCCGACGCCCCAGAGGAGGGGCTCCGAGGACGAGGAGCAGCCGGACCGAGAGAGCCGAAGGGCTGCGGACTGCACGCCAGGAGAAGGAGCTGAGGACGTGGTAGACGGCAGCGTTACATGATACACCCTGCGAAATGCTTAAGAAATCATGGGTTAAGAAATTCATAATCTCAGAATTTGAATAAAAACCCAGAACTTCTATCAACATCTTGGGATTTACATGGAAAAGTTAAGAATAATCGAGACTTTGGCCGAAAACTTACGTTTTCTTAAAGCATCGCCTGGAGTGTACAGCCAACTGATCTGGAAACGCTAAGAAGGGGCAGCTGAAAACGCACAAACCATGAATCGTTGTGTTGGCGTCTGGTGTTTTCGTATTTTGGGACCCAGAAGCGCTAAAAGCAGTGGTCCCAAACAAGATGGGTTTAAGGGCTTAAGCGCGTGAAGGCAAAAGCGCTCTGGACAAATCGAAAGAAGAACCCAGACACACGGTGACAGTGTGAAATCCGCGAAGCACATACACCCCCGAGAGCACCACCACCAGCCGGACCGCCGCCCGCGGGAAGTCCAAAACCTTCCTGCGGGCCTCGCCGGACGCTCCCTCCTCCCCCCCCCACGCACGTGAAAGCTTGCCCGGGCCTGCAGCAGAGCGGCCTCCAGCAGACCCTGACCTTCCACGAGGGCTAAAAAATAGCACCCGGCTTAGAAACCTATCCCAAAGCGATCCCACGTCTTGGTTTTGGGCTGTTTCGCTCAGCTTTTTAGGCTTCTAGGCCTCCAGTGCTAAAAGATAGCTCTCTGGAAGGTCAGGGGAGCCCCCTGTCCCCCGCCTTCGCAGACATCCGGCGGCTCGGTGCGCCGAGGCCTTGGGCCTTTTGGTCCCCTGGGGCCCCCTGCAGGGGACCCGCCTCTCGCCCGACGCGCCTCCTGCCGGCCCCGCGGCCCCCAACCGGCTCCTCCTCCTCCTCCTCCTCCTCCTCCTCCTCCTCCTCCTCCTCCTCCTCCTCCTCCTCCTCCCTCTCCTCCTCCTCCTCCTCCTCCTCCTCCTCCTCCTCCTCCTCCTCCTCCTCCTCCTCCTCCTCCTCCGGCCGTAGGTGGCGAGGGGGGGGCCTGCAGGCCTGCAGTGTGTGGACTTCTGCGTGAGGCCGGGCGTCTGCAGCTCCCCCTCGAGTCCGCAGCGAGTCTGTCTCTGGGCCCATCCCGGGGTCCCTTCCGCCGAACTCGTCGAGCCGCGCCCAGCCGCGGCGACGAGAATCTCCGAAAACGCCCGGCTGCCCCGAAGCGTCTGCGACGGCCAGATCTCGGGCCGCTGGATGTGTGTCCGCCGTGGGGTCCTCGAACCTCGACCACGCCGACTTCTCGGCGGTGAGCGGCGCGTCCTTCTGGGGGCACACGGAAGGGGTTGATGGTGGAGGGGGGGGGGCCTGCTCGGAGCACCGAGAACGGGGGCCATCGGTATACAAAACAGGACAGCGGCGGAAAAACAACACCTCTCTGTCGCAACACCACGTGTCTCCGCAGCGCGGGACGGGCGGTTCGCCGCAGACCTCCTCTTGAAAGCTTGCGGCAGCCACAAAGGTAGCGGGCGGCTCCTTCTCTGAGTGGGGCGCTCTGGCAGAAGACGTCCTCGCTCATCGAGGCCAGGATCGCGAGCATATGTTGATCATCGTTTACCCGATCCCCATCCCCAGCGGCGTGGCCTGGGCCCCACTGGCCGAGTCACCTCCCTAGATGGGGATACAGGCCGTTCCCTTTGGGTTTCGAGGGGTGCATCCCCAACTGGGGTGGTAATTTGGTGGGGGTCTCGAAAGGGATGGGGATGGGGATGGGGATGGGGATGGGGATGGATTAAGCGATACCGATATGTAGCGGGTCAGCTGCACGGACCCACGGCGGCTCCTTTCCAAAAGGGGCTCTCGCTCGGAGACGTCTGTATTGCCAGAAGCCGTGGCACGGGTTGGGGAGGTGTGGGGGGGGGCGACTCTCTTAGTGGGGCGCTCTGGTAGAAGACGTCCTCACTCATCAAGGCCAGGACCGTGAGCGTATGTAGCGGGTCAGCTGCACGGACCCACACCCACGGCGGCTCATTTCCAAAAGGGGCTCTCGCTTGGAGACGTCCGTCTTGGCAGAACGGTTGCACGGGTGTGGGGGAGCGACTCTCTTAGTGGGGCGCTCTGGCAGAAGACGTCCTCGCTCATCAGGCCAGGATCGCGAGCATATGTTGATCATCGTTTACCCGATCCCCATCCCCAGCGGCGTGGCCTGGGCCCCACTGGCCGATTCACCTCCCTAGATGGGGATACAGGCCGGTCCCTTTGGGTTTCGAGGGGTGCATCCCCAACTGGGGTGGTAATTTGGTGGGGGTCTCGAAAGGGATGGGGATGGGGATGGGGATGGGGATGGGGATGGATTGAGCGATACCGATATGTAGCGGGTCAGCTGCACGGACCCACGGCGGCTCCTTTCCAAAAGGGGCTCTCGCTCGGAGACGTCCGTATTGCCAGAAGCCGTGGCACGGGTTGGGGGGGTGGGGCGACTCTCTTAGTGGGGCGCTCTGGTAGAAGACGTCCTCACTCATCAAGGCCAGGACCGTGAGCGTATGTAGCGGGTCAGCTGCACGGACCCACACCCACGGCGGCTCATTTCCAAAAGGGGCTCTCGCTTGGAGACGTCCGTCTTGCCAGAACCGTTGTACGGGTGTGGGGGAGCGACTCTCTTAGTGGGGCGCTCTGGCAGAAGACGTCCTCGCTCATCAAGGCCAGGATCGCGAGCATATGTTGATCATCGTTTGCCCGATCCCCATCCCCAGCGGCGTGGCCTGGGCCCCACTGGCCGATTCACCTCCCTAGATGGGGATACAGGCTGTTCCCTTTGGGTTTCGAGGGGTGCATCCCCAACTGGGGTGGTAATTTGGTGGGGGTCTCGAAAGGGATGGGATGGGGATGGGGATGGGGATGGGGATGGGGATGGATTAAGCGATACCGATATGTAGCGGGTCAGCTGCACGGACCCACGGCGGCTCCTTTCCAAAAGGGGCTCTCGCTCGGAGACGTCCGTATTGCCAGAAGCCGTGGCACGGGTTGGGGGGGTGGGGCGACTCTCTTAGTGGGGCGCTCTGGTAGAAGACGTCCTCACTCATCAAGGCCAGGACCGTGAGCGTATGTAGCGGGTCAGCTGCACGGACCCACACCCACGGCGGCTCATTTCCAAAAGGGGCTCTCGCTTGGAGACGTCCGTCTTGCCAGAACCGTTGCACGGGTGTGGGGGAGCGACTCTCTTAGTGGGGCGCTCTGGCAGAAGACGTCCTCGCTCATCAAGGCCAGGATCGCGAGCATATGTTGATCATCGTTTGCCCGATCCCCATCCCCAGCGGCGTGGCCTGGGCCCCACTGGCCGATTCACCTCCCTAGATGGGGATACAGGCCGTTCCCTTTGGGTTTCGAGGGGTGCATCCCCAACTGGGGTGGTAAGTTGGTGGGGGTCTCGAAAGGGATGGGGATGGGGATGAGGATGGGGATGGGGATGGATTAAGCGATACCGATATGTAGCGGGTCAGCTGCACGGACCCACGGCGGCTCCTTTCAAAAAAAGGGGCTCTCGCTCGGAGACGGCCGTATTGCCAGAAGCCGTGGCACGGGTTGGGGGGTGGGGGTGGGGGGGGGGCGACTCTCTTAGTGGGGCGCTCTGGTAGAAGACGTCCTCACTCATCAAGGCCAGGACCGTGAGCGTATGTAGCGGGTCAGCTGCACGGACCCACACCCACGGCGGCTCATTTCCAAAAGGGGCTCTCGCTTGGAGACGTCCGTCTTGCCAGAGCCGTTGCACGGGTGTGGGGGAGCGACTCTCTTAGTGGGGCGCTCTGGCAGAAGACGTTCTCGCTCATCAAGGCCAGGATCGCGAGCATATGTTGATCATCGTTTACCCGATCCCCATCCCCAGCGGCGTGGCCTGGGCCCCACTGGCCGATTCACCTCCCTAGATGGGGATACAAGCCGTTCCCTTTGGGTTTCGAGGGGTGCATCCCCAACTGGGGTGGTAATTTGGTGGGGGTCTCGGAAGGGATGGGGATGGGGATGGGGATGGGGATGGATTAAGCGATACCGATATGTAGCGGGTCAGCTGCACGGACACACGGTGGCTCCTTTCCAAAAGGGGCTCTCGCTCGGAGACGTCCGTATTGCCAGAAGCCGTGGCACGGGTTGGGGGGTGGGGTGGGGGGGCGACTCTCTTAGTGGGGCGCTCTGGTAGAAGACGTCCTCACTCATCAAGGCCAGGACCGTGAGCGTATGTAGCGGGTCAGCTGCACGGACCCACACCCACGGCGGCTCATTTCCAAAAGGGGCTCTCGCTTGGAGACGTCCGTCTTGCCAGAACCGTTGCACGGGTGTGGGGGAGCGACTCTCTTAGTGGGGCGCTCTGGCAAGAAGACGTCCTCGCTCACCAAGGCCAGGATCGCGAGCATATGTTGATCATCGTTTACTCGATCCTCATCCCCAGCGGCGTGGCCTGGGCCCCACTGGCCGATTCACCTCCCTAGATGAGGATACAGGCCGTTCCCTTTGGGTTTCGAGGGGTGCATCCCCAACTGGGGTGGTAATTTGGTGGGGGTCTCGAACGGGATGGGGATGGGGATGGGGATGGGGATGGGGATGGATTAAGCGATACCGATATGTAGCGGGTCAGCTGCACGGACCCACGGCGGCTCCTTTCCAAAAGGGGCTCTCGCTCGGAGACGTCCGTATTGCCAGAAGCCGTGGCACGGGTTGGGGGGGTGGGGCGACTCTCTTAGTGGGGCGCTCTGGTAGAAGACGTCCTCACTCATCAAGGCCAGGACCGTGAGCGTATGTAGCGGGTCAGCTGCACGGACCCACACCCACGGCGGCTCATTTCCAAAAGGGGCTCTCGCTTGGAGACGTCCGTCTTGCCAGAACCGTTGCACGGGTGTGGGGGAGCGACTCTCTTAGTGGGGCGCTCTGGCAGAAGACGTCCTCGCTCATCAAGGCCAGGATCGCGAGCATATGTTGATCATCGTTTACCCGATCCCCATCCCCAGCGGCGTGGCCTGGGCCCCACTGGCAGATTCACCTCCCTAGATGGGGATACAGGCCGTTCCCTTTGGGTTTCGAGGGGTGCATCCCCAACTGGGGTGGTAATTTGGTGGGGGTCTCGGAAGGGATGGGGATGGGGATGGGGATGGGGATGGGGATGGGGATGGATTAAGCGATACCGATATGTAGCGGGTCAGCTGCACGGACCCACGGCGGCTCCTTTCCCAAAGGGGCTCTCGCTCGGAAACGTCCGTATTGCCAGAGGCCGTGGCACGGGTTGCGGGGGGGGAGGGGGGGCGACTCTCTTAGTGGGGCGCTCGGGTAGAAGACGTCCTCACGCATCAAGGCCAGGACCGTGAGCAGATCGCTTGGAGACGTCCGCTGCCAGAACCGTTGCACGGGGGTGGGGGAGCGACTCTCTTAGTGAGGCGCTCTGGTAGAAGACGTCCTCGCTCATCAAGGCCAGGACCGCCAGCGTATGTAGCGGGCCAGCTGCACGGACTCGCGGCGGTGTTCCTTTCCAAAGGGGGCTCCCTCGCTGGGAGGCGCCCGTTTTGCCAGAACCCGCTGCACGGACCCACGGCGGCTCCTTTCCAAAAGGGGCTCTCGCTCGGAGACGTCCGTCTTGCCAGAAGCCGTGGCACGGGTTGGGGGGGTGGGGGGGGGGGCGACTCTCTTAGTGGGGCGCTCTGGTAGAAGACGTCCTCACTCATCAAGGCCAGGACCGTGAGCGTATGTAGCGGGTCAGCTGCACGGACCCACACCCACGGCGGCTCATTTCCAAAAGGGGCTCTCGCTTGGAGACGTCCGTCTTGCCAGAAGCCGTGGCACGGGTGTGGGGGAGCGACTCTCTTAGTGGGGCGCTCTGGCAGAAGACGTCCTCGCTCATCAAGGCCAGGATGGCGAGCATATGTTGATCATCGTTTGCCCGATCCCCATCCCCAGCGGCGTGGCCTGGGCCCCACTGGCCGATTCACCTCCCTGGATGGGGATACAGGCCGTTCCCTTTGGGTTTCGAGGGGTGCATCCCCAACTGGGGTGGTAATTTGGTGGGGGCCTCGAACGAGATGGGGATGGGGATGGGGATGGGGATGGACTAAGCGATACCGGTATGTAGCGGGTCAGCTGCACGGACCCACGGCGGCTCCTTTCCAAAAGGGGCTCTCGCTCGGAGACGTCCGTATTGCCAGAAGCCGTGGCACGGGTTGGGGGGGGTGGGTGGGGGCGACTCTCTTAGTGGGGCGCTCTGGTAGAAGACGTCCTCACTCATCAATGCCAGGACCGTGAGCGTATGTAGCGGGTCAGCTGCACGGACCCACACCCACGGCGGCTCATTTCCAACAGGGGCTCTCGCTTGGAGACGTCCGTCTTGCCAGAACCGTTGCACGGGTGTGGGGGAGCGACTCTCTTAGTGGGGCGCTCTGGCAGAAGACGTCCTCGCTCATCAAGGCCAGGATCGCGAGCATATGTTGATCATCGTTTGCCCGATCCCCATCCCCAGCGGCGTGGCCTGGGCCCCACTGGCCGATTCACCTCCCTAGATGGGGATACAGGCCGTTCCCTTTGGGTTTCGAGGGGTGCATCCCCAACTGGGGTGGTAATTTGGTGGGGGCCTCGAAAGAGATGGGGATGGGGATGGGGATGGGGATGGGGATGGGGATTGATTAAGCGATACCGATGTGCAGCGGGTCAGCTGCACGGACCCACGGCGGCTCCTTTCCAAAGGGGCTCTCGCTCGGAGACGTCCGTCTTGCCAGAAGCCGTGGCACGGGTTGGGGGGGTGGGGGGGGGCGACTATCTTAGTGACTACCTACCAGGCCACCCCAACCCAACCCGAAGACCCGAATTTCGGGTTTGGGGGGGTACGGGTTCCATACGTGTTTTCTCGATGTTCCCCGACCTCCCCCCCAACTGGAAATGGAGGGCAAATCGAGACCTTCGGGTTGGGTTGGGGTGGTTTGGTGGGTGGTGACTTAGTGGGGCGCTCTGGTAGAAGACGTCCTCACTCATCAAGGCCAGGACCGTGAGCAGATCGCTTGGAGACGTCCGCTGCCAGAACCGTTGCACGGGGGTGGGGGAGCGACTCTCTTAGTGGGGCGCTCTGGCAGAAGACGTCCTCGCTCATCAAGGCCAGGACCGTCAGCGTATGTAGCGGGCCAGCTGCACGGACTCGCGGCGGTGTTCCTTTCCAAAGGGGGCTCCCTCGCTGGGAGGCGCCCGTTTTGCCAGAACCCGCTGCACGGACCCACGGCGGCTCCTTTCCAAAAGGGGCTCTCGCTCGGAGACGTCCGTCTTGCCAGAAGCCGTGGCACGGGTTGGGGGGTGGGGGAGCGACTCTCTCAAAGGGGCGCTCTGGCAGGAGACGTCCTCGCTCATCGAGGCCAGATGTGGCGGGCCAGCTGCACGGACTCGCGGCGGTGTTCCTTTCCAAAGGGGGTTCTCTCTCGCTGGGAGGCGCCCGTTTCGCCAGGACCCGCTGCACGGGTGTGGGGGAGGAGGAGGAGGAGGAGGAGGAGGAGGAGGAGGAGGAGGAGGAGGAGGAGGAGGAGGAGGAGGAGGAGGAGGAGGAGAGGAGGGGAGGAGGAGGAGGAGGAGGAGAGGAGAAGGAGGAGGAGGAGGAGGAGGAGGAGGAGGAGGAAGAGGACGACGAGGAGGAGGACGACGAGTTGGAGGAGGAGGAGGACGACGACGAGTTGGAGGAGGAGGAGGACGACGAGTTTGAGGAGGAGGAGGAGGAGGAGGAGGAGGAGAACGAGTTGGAGGAGGAGGAGGAGGAGGAGGATGGCGCGACCATCCCTGGCGACTGGCCAGGAGGGCGAGAGGGCTGGGTGCTGGCGTGGCCGCGGACGCCTCTCCAGCGTGCGGCCCTCTCGTGTGGAAGAATCGCTGGCGCATCCTGGGTTTACTCTAGTCCAGCTTCCTCTACGTTTCCTTCCTCCTCCTTCCGCCTCCTTCCTCCTCCTACCTCTTCTCCCCTCCTCCTCATCCTTCCTCCCTTGCTCAGTCCTCGCCGCCAGCGGACGTGGCGGTCTCGGCGGCTCTACGGGCGCTTCCCGTAGCCAGATTGTCCCCATCCACCTCTCCGTCCTCCTCCTCCTCCTCCGTCCTGCTCCTCCTGCTTCCCTCCTTCCTTCGTCCCCTCTCCTTCCCTCCTTCTCCCTCCCCCTGCCTCCGTCCTCATCCCTCCTCCTACTCCTCCTTCTCCTCTTACTCCTCCTCCTCTTCCTCCTTCTCCCCTTCTCCTCCTTCTGCCTGGGGGGGCAACTCAATGCCCGTCTTGCTCTCTCTCTCTCTCTCTCTCTCGCCGGGCGCGTTCCGACCAATTCCGAGGAGAATCCGGCCGTGGCGGCGAGGGCTCCCCAGGACGAGAGGCGGTATCAATACCTCCCCATGCTCGGCTGCCTCCCTCCATCCCCTCGACGTGCACCACCCGCACCCTCCGCGCGGCATGTGCCGCGCTGCCGCGGCCGCGGCCGAGGCCGCGGCGGCGCCCACCGTCGAAGCCGTGGCCGCATCACGGCGGCACCTTCCGCGTGGACGATACGCAGGTCGATGGGATTCGCCTCCGCCTTCGCCTCCGCCTCCTCCTCCTCCTCCCCCCCGTTCCTCCATCTCCTCCTCCTCCTCTCCTCCTCCTCCTCCTCCTCCTCCTCCTCCTCATCCCCCCTTCCTGCATCTCCTCCTCCCCCCCTTCCTCCTCCTCCCCCTCCTCCTCCTCCTCCTCCTCCTCCTCCCTCCTACTCCTCCTCCTCCTCCTCCTCCTCCTCCTCCTCCTCCTCCTCCTCCTCCTCCTCCTCCTCCTCCTCCTCCACACATGCAGGGTATGAATACTACTCCCCTCATCCCCTGATGACGTCGGGGAGATGTTGGGCCCCCCTCCGCGTACTGCTCTCTTGCACACAAGATTCCCGGGAAGTGGGTGTTCGCTTGGGTGCTTTGTTTCAAAATGTTGCTCTCACTGAAGCGCTGGCCTCATTTTCGGGCTTCCACTCGTTCCGAATCGTGTTCCCGCTGCAACGCTGGCCTCATTTCCGCGCTTCTGCTCGTTCCGAATCGCGTTCCCGCTACAGCGCTGGCCTCATTTTTCCGCGTTTCCGCTCGTGCCGAATCGTGCTCCCGCTGCAGCGCTGGTGTCATGATTTCCAGCGCCATGCCACGGCATGCAATGCAATGCTATGTGGCGTTCCGCTGTTCAATGCCACGCCTCCAGCTGCAAGGCTAGGATATGCAGTGCTTGACCACGCAGTGCCACGCCATGCTATGCCATGCTACGCTTTGATCTTCAACGCCATGCTATGCCAGGTCATGTTCTGTGCCACTGTGCGATGCCATTCTTTGCGATGCAATGCTTTGTGATGCAATAAGTCACTGCGCAACGCCACGCCATGCTATGACATACTATGCTCTGCCGTGCTCGTCTACGCCCTGCTATGCCGTGCTCTACGATGCATCGCGCACCCTCTCGGGATCATTGCCCAGCTCGGCATCCGGCTGTGCGAACAGAGAGGACATCGAGGCCATGGTAAGGGATGGGAGGGGCGGGTATAGGACGCCAGACAGGACGCGAGCGCACCAGTTCCTTCCTCCCCCTCCCCCCTCCCCCCCCCTCCCCCGCCTCCTCCTCCGCCGCCTCCTCCTCCCCCCCTCCTCGCCTCCTTCTCCTCCTCCTCCTCCCCCCCCGCCCCCTCCCCCTCCCCCGCCCCTCCCCCTCCCCCCTCCCCCTCCCCCTCCCCCTCCCCCCTCCCCCTCCCCCTCCCCCCTCCCCCGCCCCCTCCCCCGCCCCCTCCTCGCCGCCCCCCTCCTCGCCTCCTCCTCGCCCTCCTCCTCGCCCGCCTCCTCGGCCGCTTCGCCCGCCCGGAGTCCCCCGGGGGCGGCGCGGCGGGCGCGAAGCACACCACCTTGCGGGACGTGCGGGCGCTCGGGGTGTCGCCTCCTCGCGGGTCGGGGCACCGCGCCCGGGCCCGGGAAGGGGGTGCTCCGACGGCGGGAGGAGGGAGGACGAGGGAGGGAGAGGAGGGGCGACAGAGGAGGGAGGAGGGAGGGACGACGAGGGAGGGACGACAGAGGAGGGAGGAGGAGGGAGGACGAGGGAGGGAGAGGAGGGACGACAGAGGAGGGAGGAGGAGGGAGGACGAGGGAGGGAGAGGAGGGATGGCAGAGGAGGAAGAAGAAGGGGGGAGGGTGGCAAAGGAACATGAGGACGAAGAGGAGGAGAAGAGGAGAAGAAGCACGAGAGAAGAAGACAAATGAGGCGGTGGAGGAAGACGAAGGAAGATGACTGGAAATGCTGCTGTAAGAAGGGGAACGATGTCTTCCGAAGATGAAATGCAGCGTCTGATGGTGCAGGGCGGAATGTCTAAGGCGGGTGCGGTGCACCAGTCAGGACTTGAACCCAAACAGAAACACTTGCAAAAACAGGACAGCCGACAAGGAACTTCGAGACCCGTGCTCAAACAGGTCCGTCGCGCCCTCAAAAGGCTCATTGCCACAAGAGGGCTCGACTGACCGCCCCTTAGTTTTAGTTATAATTTATAAAAAAAGAGGCCTGGCTGCAAAGGGATAGCTTCACCAGAGTTCGACACGTCCCCGGATTGACGGCCTGCACTCCACCCCAGAACGCACCTTCCGCCCCCCCACTGCGCGAGCCGAAACAACAATTTACGGCGCCAGCGGAAGGGATGGAAGTGCTCCCAGCAGAGCCGTTGGGACTAGACGAAACAAGTCGATCTATCCCCCATCTGGAAAAACGCGAGATGATTTGAGCAGGGGCCGACCTTCCCGGCATTCCTACAGTCCTACCATGACATGTTCGTAGAACCCAAAACTGATCTTAGAAAAAAGCAGCGTTCTTAGAACATAATCCCGATGTGTAAAAAAAAGACTCCGCCAGAAAAGCTCTAAGAACATGTCGCGGGAACCACAAGAGTTTCTTAGAACAATGTTTGGTCGGGCTATGGGCAAGCCAAGACGCTTCGCCACTGCTTGAAACAATGCACGGCGACCCTCCAAATCTGGGTAAACACAAGCAGTCCCTCTCCGCTGTACCGGCTGGCACCGGCGACGGGGCACCTCGGCACCCCCGCAGCGGGGAGCGACGCCCCGACCCCGGGTCCCGCCGCCAGGAAACAACACTTATCGCCCAGGCACCGAACACGGGGCACCAACACAGGAGCCAACGACCCGCCAGGTTGAAGCATCGCCTGCAGGAGCTGCGCAAGACAAGGCACTCTTTTACCCCCTTGCGCCTTGGTCGAGGTCGATGCTCTCGAGGCGGGGGGACGGCATTCGCAGGGACGAGCGCTGGGGAACCCGCTGCGGCGCCAGCGTCTGCGGCTGCAACTTCGCGGGCACGTTCCCTGCAGGGCCGCGCTGGCCGTCGTCAACCATCGTCATATGTCGTCGCCGCCGTCGTCGTCGTCGTCGTCGTCGTCGTCGTCGTCGTGGTCGGCGTCGGTCGGAGATTTCGGATAGAGGGTCGGGCATCGATGATGTTGAACAAGCGTGGCCCCTCTCGGGCCTCCTGGGCGGTTCGCGCCAAAGGCTGGACGCAACTCCAAAGACATGTCAGGATGTTTTCTGAAAGGGCGGGTCGGGTCGGGTCGGGTCGGGTCTCGTCGTCGTCGTCGTCGTCGTCGTTGTCTGCGTCGTCGTCGTCGTGGGCCAGGAAGTCCCGAGGTCCCCAGAGGTCCTTGGGAACCTGAGGTGCCAGCAGACCCTCAGCAGAACCTGTAGGCATCAGAACGGTCAGGATGTCCACAAGCTATGGGCCGTTGTCGCCGTCGGTCTCATACTGGTTTCGTCGCCCGCGCGTCGCCGGTATCGCCGTCGGCGTCGTCCTCGTCGTCGTCGGCGCTGCAATCGGCGCCGTCGTCGGCCTCCTCGTCGTCGTCCTCGTCGTCCTCATCGTCAACGTCGTCGTCGACCACGCGGTCGTCGTCGGCTTCCGCGCGGAGGTCGGCGTCGTCCTGGGAGCGTCAGCAGCGTGTCGCACGTCTCACTCCGGGTGGGCGCTGGCTTCGGGACCTCCACCTCCGCCTGGGCAGGGCGAGGCGGGCGGCGCGCAGTGCGAGGGCGCGGGAGGACGACGACGAGGGGAATCGGGGGGCGGGAGGGGGAGAGCCTCAATCATTTCGACGCTCTCCACCTCCTCCTCCTCTTCCTCCTCCTCCTCCTCCTCCTCCTCCTCCTTCTCCTCCTCCTCCTCCTCCTCCCTCCTCCTCCCCCTCCTCCTCCTCCTCCTCCTCCTCCTCCTCCTCCTCCTCCTCCTTCTCCTCTTCCTCCTCCTCCTGATACTCCTCCCCCTCCTCCTCCTCCTCATCCTCCTCCCCCTCCTCTTCTGTTTTTCCTCTTCCTCCTGTCCCCATCCACCCCTGCTCGGTTTCCCGATGTACCTGCTCGGAGGAGGTGGATTGGGGGGATTAGGAAAGGGAGGGGAGAAGAAGGATAACGAAAAGGAAGGGAGGGGGGGGGCGGGGATGAGGGGGGAGAGGACGGGAGACGAGGGAGGAGGCCGAGGAGGAGGAGGAGAAAAAGAGTGGGGAGAGGAAGAAGAGTAAGAGGACAGGACAAGACAGGACGTCCGCATAAAAGGGGTCAACGTCAACACACCTAGACTGGTGCCTTGCGCGCGTCTGGCCAATTCCCCTGCGATTTGGTTGTGCGACGGCCCTGGCTTCTCACTTGGGCCGGCAGGGGGTACCCCCCAAAGCTTCAAGGGGTGAGCTCCGCGGTGGCCCCGTACGAGAGGCACACTACCTTGCGAGCCCGTGCGGGTCGGGAACAGCTGCTGGCCCTTCCGCGTGCCCTTGGAATGGGGACAGGCCGGGCAAGCAGGGCTCCCAAGTTAGGGGGGAGAGACGACGACACGACCACTCAAGGAGAGAAGGGGAGGATAATCAGGAGACCCATGCTTTCCAACCTTCAGCTGTGGGGCCGAATTACCGTCTTATGCTATCCTATTATCTCCTTTCTCTTTCTCTCGGCTCATTCTCCAGCGCGAACTGGACGATCGTTGTCCCATGCGTTGTCGTAGCTGTACCCTGATACCCTGCTGTAGTATCCCACTGCTGCCCCTCGAAGTGTAGGTAGGGAAGAGCATCCTGGTAGTCGCGGTATGTTGGCGGTGAGGCCCTCGTGGGTGCGCTCTGGTGGCCTTCGTGGTTATCACCTTTTTCCCCATCCCTCCCTCCCTGCAGTAGCGTACCTGTCGGCACACCAGAAAAAAAACAACTTCTCAAGGCGTTGTCTGCGCGAGCTCTCTGTTAAGAGTCCTCACGCCGAGATGGCCCCGCTAGTGATGGTCCCACTGAGTCTGCCCGTCCTGCCAACCTAGAGTCGCACTCCGAGATAATCTCGCGAATGCAGCTCTTGGCGTCGTCAGTGGGCTCAAGTGGGCTCTCTCACTTGCGGCCGCTGGAGCTGGCCGCCTCCTCCAACTTGGCGTATTTTTCGGAGATCTCGGCACCGCCCAGCAAGGTCTTTCGTGCTGTCTCGTAGCTGCCTGCGCTTTTTGGGCCTGTCCACCTCCTCTGGGTCGAGATTCTCCTCGTTGCTCAATTCCTTCAGAGCGGCCTTCATGACGCTGAAGAGGTTCTCCTCGTCATTCTTCAATATCTCGAGCGCCGACTCACACCAGCTCTGCACAGTGAAGGCCTTCCTCCCAGCTCTTTCCCACGCGTCCACTGGGCACCTTGCGATGAGATCGCATCCGTCGGCCTCGTGCGTCACCGGGGAGGTCCTTGGAATCAGCTCGACGAGCTCCTCTGGGCACATCTTCTGGGCGGCGTCGTAAAACTTGCAATGGTTCTCCTTGGTGGCGGCGCCTAGCTTCTGCGGCAGCCTTTCCGCTGCAAGCGCATCCAATTTCTATCCCACCTTGAGCTCCACCACCATTGAAGGCCCCCTCCTGAACGGGTGTAAGATGAACTTGCACCCGATGTCTCGCCACTTCTCGCTGTCCTTGCATGAGTTCGTCTTCTGAATGGTTCTCCTGCGCCTTCACGTGCTGCGCCCAGACCGCTTTGCACCGTAACTTCCGCTGGGGCCCCCATGAGTTGGGGCTGGTGCCTTGCCGCCACAGCTTGCTAGGGAATGCAAGTCCGCGCGAGCAGGCGATGCCCTTCTTTTTGTCCCATCTGGTGTTCCTCCTGCGTACGTTGAACAGCTGCATGTTGCAGCCCCACTTGTCCACGAAGCCCAGCGCCTTGAGGGACGCTGTCTGTGTCTACCCCATGGTTTTCGCCGTCTCGTAGTCTCCCACCTTGTGCAGCTCCTTCTCCTTCTCCTCCAACTCCTTCTGGGCGGCCTTCAGCGCTTCCTCGCCCTTGACGTCCATGGCCATGTACTTGTTCTGCAGGGTGTCGCAGCTTTCGGCGGATCGCAAGGCATCAGCAATGCCTTCTCCTGCTTTGCTGAAGCGATGCCCCCAGCAGTGCCATTGCGATCTCCTTGGGCCTCTCTATGACTATCTTGCTCCCCTGATCGCGAGACTTGTTCTTTGGTCCTTCCTCGGCCTCAATGAGCGCTTTCGCCGCCTGGATCTGCCCCAGGGACTAGTCTGCCCACGCGGCTCCTTATGCTTTCCTCTTCTGTTCTCGGCAGGGCTGCTCTCTCGTAGTAACGTACTGCTCTCCTCCATGTCGTATCTTTTCCTCGTCGCTCCACTTGATCCACTCTTCCTGCCTCAGCTCCAGCTCGCAGTCGGCGCACACCCTCTTCCATTGGCCCCCACTGCTTCCTTGATCTTTGTCATGCCCAGGCGCATTCTTGGCGCGCTCCCTGTGGCTCTCGATCAGCTTGTAGTACCCGAACCCATTGTTGCAACGCCCGCATGGCCATAGCTGACCCGCACTCCGAGATCACCCTGCTAGTGCGCAGCACTGCGCACCTGGGCAGTCGTTGAGCCAGATTGGCTGAGAACCGAAAATGATCGATGGAGGTTGAAGTGGATTGCCCATGTGCCCCGAATATCACGTGGCACCTTGCATTCTGGTCCCATGTTGCCCCCACTGTCCGTGACCCAGCTCTACATTGCGCGTATGCTGTACCGTCGGCAAAATACCCCGCCCACCGTCTTTCCGTATCTGTAATGGAGTAGGGGTAAAGATAAGCATCGTGTCGCCATAATTGATGATGTCGGCTACTGACAGGGGCGGGAGGGCTGGTTGCTGCCAGGGAGGCCTCTTCCCAAGATGTTTCGCTGTAGCACTACTTCCCGTTCTGATCAAAACTTTAGGGCCAACTCGTATACCCGACCATCTGGGGCACAACGTTTCAGTTTAGTGAGGCGTTCAACGTCCATGCTGATTGGCTCCGCTATCCTTTCATCATCTGAAAGATGTCTCTTCCTCTTCGCCTGTCCGCTGTTGGGCACTTCTGCGAAGCCCGAGTGCCCTGGAGTGGCCCCCCCCGAGGTCGGCGCCCTCAGGACTCGATGCAAACGCCGTCGGAGGTGCAGCGAAGGTGCTCGTCCGCGACAGCCGCGGTCTGCCACTCTGCCCTGGGTTCTCTGCACTCCGAGCTAACCTCGCTACTGCAAGTGCCCCCTCCTTCCTCGGCGGCGCCGACGCTGAAGTTCCCGTTCCACCATCCTCTCCAACTCCGACTTGGGCGCCGCCGGCTGAGACTTCTAAGAGTAGGAGGAGGACGAGGAGGCGCCTCGAAACGAAAACCTTGACCTCCGAGCCGCGTGACCCTCGTCGCCTGGCTTTCGGGTCACAAGCTGGGCCTCCCCCGTCCGCCTGCGGCGATCCAGGCACCCCCCCGGAACGCTCTCGACGAGGCGCAGCTGCGGTAACCACCCTGGGCCTCGAAACTTCCAACCATTCTCGGACACTTCCCCTGCGCAGGAGGAACAAAGCGGCACCGATACTGCGACACCCAGGACCTCCTCTGGTGTGTGTGTGTGTGTTCCGAGCAGAATTTCAAGGATAATCTGGCCGTCGCGACGAGCGTTCTCCAGGACGAGCAACGGCATCGACAGCCCTCCCTCCGACTTCGCTCGGGGAAAGCACGAGACGACAAGCACATCGAGGACACACCCTGAGGGAGGTGTTGCGCATGCCAATAACCGTAGGAGCACCAAAACCAACTGGGTAATGGTTGTTGTCTGATGTGAGCGTCCCGGACGGCCAAATCGACCACGACCACGACCAAAGTGTTTATGTCGAGGTCGGCGGGTTCTGCCCCGAGGGGCCCTTCATAAAAACCCACTGAGCTATCATATATCACGAGATATCATATATGTTTCTGAGATGGGCTTAGGACGGGCGTGTTCCCCTACAGGCGGATGTTGGACGAAAAATAAAAACAGTCAAAGACTATTCAAACATAGCAGAAACAGATGATAGAAACATCGTCGCCTGACTATTGTTCGAATGTGTTTGAATCTCCCGCCTGTAGAGGGACAGGCCCGAGTTAAAGATAGCCCAGCTTATCCGAGGGGCAGGGGTGGGTGGAGGTGATGGCCGATAACCCTACACCCTGCGAAATGCTTAAGAAATCATGGGTTAAGAAATTCATAGTCTGAGAACTTAAATAAAAAAACAAAACATTCAATGAAATCTTAAGATTTACATTGAAACGTTAAGAATAATCGAGACTCTGGCCGAAAACGTAAGTTTTCTTAAGCATCGCCTAAGGTGTACTCACTTCTGGGGCAGGCCCTCGTCCCCGCGCGATTCAGCACCCCTCCCCCTCTCGGACCTGGGCAGCAGACAGGGTACAGCTGGGGCGTTGACCGAAGGAACGCTCACTGAGGAACGAGGCTCCATTCCTCTAAGCTCAACTTCGATTTCCCATCGGAAACTGATAGGGCGACGAAATCTATACATATCCACTGCTCCCTGGCCAGGCCCATTCTGAACCCAGCAGCGGTGTACACGTCACGCCCTCCTGGCTCGGCCAGGAGGGCGTATACACAGCTCCCAGGTTCAGGCTGGGCCTGGCCGGGGAGCAGTGGATATGTATAGATTTCGTCGCCCGAAACTGAGCGGATGCCTGAGGCAAACTGTTGAACACGGAGCCCCTCCCCAACGACAAGGGTTCCTTCTTCAGCGCCGCGACTGTAAGGTACGGATATCTTTCTGTCGGTCGTGTCCCCCTCCACATGTGGATTTTGGACGAAAAATAAAACAGACCCCCCAAATGCTCGAAGCTGTTCAGAAATGGTAGAATTTTGCCCGCATGCTACTGTTGGACTATTTTCGAATACTCGTCCTGCAGAGGGACGTGCCCGACTTAACGTTCTTCTGGGGCGGGGAAGGGAAAAGGGGAGGAGCGGGCCCGAGAACTCGGGCCACCACCGCCAGACCCGTTTGAAGCAACACTATCGCACTATCGTCTGGGGAAGCCAGCAGGTACCGCTACCGCTGCTCCACGGCCCTCTCGCGGGGTGCGCTCTGGCCAGGCTCACGAGGCGCAACTCGCCGCAGCGCCGAGGGCCTCCCAGGAGGCCCCCGAACAAGGGGAAAACGCGGGAATGGCACCGGTACCGGTCAGCGGGCGAAGAACGGTATAACATAAAGTTTTTCGCTGACGGGGGCGCCTGTCCCTGGGCGGCTGGAAAGTTTATACCCCTACGGTACCACCGTAGGGGTATAAACTTTCCAGCCGCCCAGGGACAGGCGCCCCCGACAGCGAAAAAGTTTATTTTGTACCGTTCTTCGCCCGTTGAATCGGTGCCCATGCCCCCTCAAATCTTCGAGCCTCGAGGCGAAAACCTCTGTGGATCTCTTCGAAACTCCGAGCGGCCTCCGCCAGCGAGCCGCCGCTCGCCACGTGCGTCGGCGTCCCGGGCGTCGTGCCGCCCGCCTCGGCAGCAGCCGCCGGCGGCGCGCACTGCTGCAGGCGGCCCTCCAGCGCCTTGAGCTCCCTGTCGAGGACCTGCAGCGAAAAGCATCACACAGTGCCCCTCACCCTTTGGGAGGGGACCTAAGCCATACCCCTTCGAATTATGACAGAACTCTAAATCACGACGGGACATTCTTCACCATTTTCAGCCTTTTGGGGCCCTGACCGGCCCTCGGGACCGTCAAAAACGACTCGGGCTGCAAAACTGGTCCTGGGAAGTGGGTCCAAACCGCTGCGGGCCCACGTTACGGTGGGGGCGTTGGTGAAGGAATGTGCCCAAGAGGCTTCAGACCCTGCAGGATTCCTTACCTGATGAGGGCGGCAGTGACATCCATGGCCAAGCCAGCATTGGAGTTCCACCGGCTTCCAGACCTTGGGTTCCTTATCCAAGGGTTACTTTTCCAATGCCGTCACCGAAAGGAACATGCATGACGTCGGGGGCCTGGGTTGGGACGGCGAAAAAATGAGAGGGGGTCTTTTGGCCGAAGATGCATCCGACCAGACCGCCCAGATGTACGATCCCCAATGCCAAGACAGGGACCTAAAAGAGGCCATCGTGGTATTAGAGAGAGCGTGATCCACCGCCGCTTTACTTTGGAAAATTGCCAACCTTTTCCTCCGGAGCCCGGGGGTCGCCCCCCCCCCTTCCATCGTGGTATTAGAGAGAGCGTGATCCACCGCCGCTTTACTTTGGAAAATTGCCAACCTTTTCCTCCGGAGCCCGGGGGTCGCCCCCCCCCCTTCCGAAAATCTCCCCCCCCCCCCCCCCTGCGGAATACCGAGGGGGGCCCCCTCCCCCCCCTCTCCCCCGGCAAAACCTCCCCCTCCCCTAACCCCTCCCCCCCCCCCCCCTCCCGCTCGAAAACGTGCGGGGGTTCACTAACCGGGTTCGAACCCCCCCCCCCACCCTCCCCCATCCGGAATCCGGAAACCGAGGGTGGTCACTACCGTTCGAACCCCTCCCCCCCCCCTTACCCTTCGGAATCCGGAAAAACCGCAAGGGGGGTCCTACCGGTTCGAACCCCCCCCCCCCCCCCCTCCCCCCCCCCCTACTCACCGCCAGCAAACGACTCCCGGTCCCCACCACCGTCCGCATCACATCCCCCACTGGTGTTCCCAGCACCACTGTCCTCACCACCGCTGTCCCCACTGGTTCCACCACCGCCCCTACTGTCCCCACCAGTGGCCCCACCACTGTCGCACTGTCCCCGCTGTCCCCAGAACTATTCCCACCACGGTTCCACTCTCCCCACTGTCTCCACGGCCCCAACCACTGCCCGACTATCCCCACTGTCCCCACTGTCCCCACTGTCCCACTGATTCCTCCGCTGTCCCACTGAGCTGTCCCACTGTTCCCACCACTGTCTCGCCACCGCCTTCACCACTGTCCCCACCACCATTGTACCCTCCACTGTCCCACTGTTTCCACCTCATTCCCATTGTCCCCACACCGCTGTCCCCACCACCACCGTCACCACCACTGTCCACTGTCCCCCCCTGTTCCCACCATTGTCCCCACCACTGTCCCCACCACTACCGTCCCCACCACTGTCCCACTGTCCCACTGTCCCCACCACTGTCCCGCTATCCCCTCACCACTGTCCCCACCAACACCGTCCCCACCACTGTCCGCACCCCCACTCGGTTTTCGAGGGGGGGAGGGGGGGGGTTCGAACCGGTAGTGACCCCCCCCCGGTTTTCGAGGGGGGGGGGTGGGGGGGGGTTCGAACCGGTAGTGACCCCCCCCCCTTTTCATGATGAGCTGGGGGGGGGGGGGGGAGGGGTTCGAACCGGTAGTGACCCCCCCCGGTTTTCCGGAGGGGGGGTGGGAGGGGTTCGAACCGGTAGTGACCCCCCCCGGTTTTCCGCCAGCAGCGGTAGAACACGCTCTTTCTGGTATTAGGGTCCGAGGTTCCTTTGGTTTCGGTGATGCTCGTTCTTCCCAGAGATCCGACGCTCCCCCAAAAAATTGTGCGGGCGCTGTTTGGTTAAGTCGGCTTCCAAAGGGCCTCGCCGCGGCCCGGGACCGTCCAAAATTACTCAGGACGAAGAACCAGCCCCGGGGCAGCGGCCCAGACCTCTGGGGCCCACGCACCGAAAACGGAGCAGCAAAGTGTCTAGGTTTTTTCACCTTCGCGAGGCCTTGCCAGCCAATGTTGTACAGACCGTGGCGAGGGAGGGAGCTGAGCATGACTCTCCCTCCTGTCGTTCCCCGATGAGCTCCAGCACACCAAGGTGAGAATAGGCAGCAACAGTAAGTGTGGCACCCCGCACCCGCGGACACACCTCACCGCGAGCGAGGAAAAAAAAACCCATCGGCCTCTACGACAAAACGGACTATAACATCGAGCAGACCTGCCAGGGATCGGAGAGGGAGGGGGCGTGGGCGAGGAGGGGCAGGGGATGAGGACGAGGAGGAGGAGCTCAGTGCTGGCGGCTCGCTCGGGTTACTCTGCGCCCTCGGGGGCGCCCCTTCTGCTTCTACACACCCCCTCTGGCCCAGGCTCTCACGCTCCGCACCTCTTGCGGTCTTGATGTGTGTGCGCGCCTGCATGTCTTGTGGTCGGCTCTCCCTTCCAGCAGCGGGGCGCAGCGGCGTCGGAGCCTGTGCTGGCCCAGCGTAAACAACACGTCAGCCGACCACTGATGTCGGGAGTGGGCCCGACGAACAGGATCGGCGGCGAGAGAGGGGGGGGGATAAAAGGGGCGGGCCTTCTCAGAAGGCTCGGAGGTCTTCCGGACTCCTGAACAGTTTTCTGAGGCTTCCCTGAAGAAAGACGAGCAAAAACCTCTCAGGAGGCGCGAGGGATTCTGAGAGGTCCCACCACCTTCTAAAGAAGGCCTCCTCCTTCCCGCTTCCCCCCTCCCAGACCTGGCGAAACACGGGACTCGAGGTCCACCGCTCCCGGGCCTGGCCCTCGGGAGCATCCGAAAACGGCGCAGGAGGAGAACAACTTTCTCCGCCGGCAGCGAGGCAGAGCTGGCTGCACCAGCGTCAGAGTTCCACGGGGGCACCGAAGCAGGAGGAGGAGGAGAAGGAAGAGGAGGAGGAGGAGGAGGAGGAGGAGGGGGAGGAGGGGGAGGAGGGGGAGGAGGACGAGGAGGAGGAGGGGCGCGAAGCGCGAATCGGCGGCCAGCGTGCAAGAGCGGGAGAGGGGGGCAGCGAGGGCGGCCGCGGAGGGGCGGGGGGGGGCAAAAAAAACGGCCACGCAGAGGCGGAGGAGCTCTCGCCCGAGAGTGCTGACGCGGCCAACCCCGCAGGATTAGGTCGGGCATGTCCCCCATCCAGGAAGATCTTGAGCGAAAAATGAAGGGAGAAAAAAGCTCAACAAGTATTCCAAAATGGTTTAAAAAAAATACTGGCAAGATAATCCCCCGACTATGTTTTGACTGTTTTGAATATTCCTCCTGTAGAGGGACACGCCCGACTCAACCGCACGAGGACAGACCAAAAACCGGTCCAAAAGGGAGCGGGTCCCGACCGCGGAGGGCCGACGCCACGACGCACACACAATGCGTCGCGGGGGCCCGCGGGCCCGGGCGCGCCGAGGTCCCCCGCGTCCTCCCGAGGCCGGCCGCAGGGAGCGCCAGACCCCGAGGGGAGGGTCTGCTCGGGCGCCCGCCGCCGCCCCACAGCGGGGCTCTCGAAGCGCGGATGCCACGACAATGGACACCATCACAGTCCTGCCATCGAATAAAACTAAAGGGAAATTAGGACACACAAATAAATACACACAAATAAAAATAGTCCCAATATTTTCCTATATTTTCTGGGTTTTTGTCTTCCCCCCCACTGCCCATATTTTCCCATATTTTCTGGGGAATCGAGGATTAATTGTGTCTGTGTGTTTCATCCCCTCCTGAAAAACATGTGTTTGAAATGTAGGAAACATGTCATGAAAATGTTTCAAACCTATTTTTCACATGTTCACAAATAGGTTTAACACATGTCCTAGGCATCTGGACACTGCTTGGCAACATGCTTCCTCTCCAGTGATCGTCCTCCGCAACTCTTGAGGAGCAGGAGGGAGGGGCGGAGGAGGGGTGGGGGGGGGAAATTCTTGCCTGTACTGACTGGAGGTGGGACATGTTTGAAACATGTGTTCAAACTATGTTTAACACATGTTTAGGCATCTGGAAATTATTTGGCAACATGCTTCCTCTCCATTGGTCGTCCTCCACAAAGCAAGCGAAAAATGCGTGGCCCCTCGTGCTCGCGGACGCCGGGAGGCTGCGAACGCAGGAGCCAACGCCCACCGGCCACAGCCGGGACCAGAGAGATTCGGGGCCGCACGGGCGCGCGCGGCACTGCTGCTGCGCAGCTCCTGAGGAGATGCAGAAAAGGGGGGGAGGAAGGAGGAGGAACAGGAGGAGAAGGTAGAGGAGGGAGGGAGGATTGGGTTGGGTCACGTCTGCCGTGCAAGTCCTGGCAGGTCTGCTGGAGGCAGCGCTTCATACCAGCCACATCCACAGGCCGCCACAGCTGGCAAGAGCAGGGAGGGAGGAGGCAGGAGGGAAGGAGGAGGAGGAGGAGGAGGAGGAGGAGGAGGAGGATGTTAGACCGTCTGGAGGGGGCGCGTCTGCTAAGCAGTCCGCCGCCGCCTACAGTCATAGTGCTGCCATAAGGAGCGCCGGATGAGGAGCGCCGGATGAGGAACGAAGAAACATCCCAAACATATTCCAAAAATTGACAAACAAAATCGTCCCCATACTATTTTTGAGACTATTTTACCTAACACCGAAGACTAATAGGTTCCTAGTGGGCTCAAAAGACAGCATCATGACTCCCGAGGAGGGTCTGGGCAGATGCCGGAGGGGTGCTGGGGCAAACCGGAGACTCCCCATTTTCACTGCCAGGAGACACATTGTGATTGCCCGGAGCCAACAGAACACCACTCCCAGGCCACATTTTGAATGCCCGGAGCCAACTGTAGGCCACTTCGTGTTCTTCGTGCTCCCAGAATACAACACTCCCAGGCCACATTTTGAATGCCCGGAGCCAACTATAGGCTACTTCGTGATCTTCGTGTTCCCAGAACACCACTCCCAGGCCACATTTTGAATGCCCGGAGCCAACTGTAGACCACTTCGTGTTCTTCGTCTTCCCAAAACACCATTCCCAGGCTAATTTTGAATGCCCGGAGCCAACTGTAGGCCACTTCGTGTTTTTCGTGCTCCCAGAATACCACTCCTGCACCATATTTGGATTGCCCGGGGCCACCTGTGGGCCACTTCGTGATCTTCGTGTTCCCAGAACACCAGTCTTGTGCCATATTTTGAATGCCCGAGCTGAGGCAGGCTGAGGCCGAGGCAGGCTGAGGCCGAGGCAGGCTGAGGCTGAGGCTGAGGCTGATGCACGCCGAGGCAGGCTGAGGCTGAGGCTGAGGCAGGCTGAGGCTGAGGCGGGCTGAGGCTGAGGCTGTCGCAGGCTGAGGCTGAGGCAGGCTGAGGCTGAGGCTGACGCAGGCTGAGGCTGAGGCAGGCTGAGGCTGAGGCTGACGCAGGCTGATGCTGAGGCTGAGGCCGAGGCACGCTGAGGCTGAGGCAGAGGCAAGCCGAGGCAGGCTGAGGCTGATGCTGAGGCTGATGCTGAGGCTGATACTGAGGCAGGCTGAGGCTGAGGCTGAGGCTGAGGCAGGCTGAGGCTGAAGCAGGCTGAGGCTGAGGCCGAAGCAGGCTCAGGCCGAGACAGGCTGAAGCTGAGACTGAGGCTGAGGCTGAGGATGAGGCCGAGGCAGGCCGAAGCTGAGACAAAGTGAGGCTGAATGGGGGGGGGGGAAGGGGGGGGGGGGGGAGGGGAGGCTGAGGCAGGCTGAGGCCGAGGCAGGCTGAGGCCGAAGCAGGCTGAGGCTGAGGCTGAGGCAGGCCGAAGCAGGCTGAGGCTGAGGCTGAGGCAGGCCGAGGCTGAGGCAGGCTGAGGCTGAGGCAGGCTGAGGGTGAGGCTGACGCAGGCTGAGGCCGAGGCAGGTTGTGGCTGAGGCTGAGGCAGGCTGAAGCTGAGGCCGAGACAGGCTGAGGCTGAGGCTGATGCAAGCCGAGGCAGGCTGTGGTTGAGGATGAAACTGAAGCAAGCTGAGGCATCCGTAGGAATCCATCGGAATCCTTAGGGATCCCCACGAACCCTCAAGAATCCGTAGGCATCCTTAGGAATCCGTAGGCATAGTTAAGCATCCTCAGGGATCCTTTGGAATCCTTAGGATTCCGTTGGATCCTAAGGCCGTTGCCACTGCGACTGTCATTGCGAATGCGACTGCGACTGCGAGAACAGCAAAACTCTACAAATGGCTTCTCACCTGCATCCTAGGGGGAATGCTTCCAGATATGCTCATACACGTCGCTGTCAGGTTGTTTCGCCGGGATAATTATTGAATGCTCCTCCTGTAGAGGGACGCGCCCGACTTAAACCTAGAGTAGTCCTGTAGAGGGAGGAGGCAGGAGGGAAGGAGGAGGAGGATGTTAGAGCGTCTGGAGGGGGCGCGTCTGCTAAGCAGTCCGCCGCCGCCTACAGTCATAGTGCTGCCATAAGGAGCACCGGATGAGGAGCGCCGGATGAGGAACGAAGAAAGATCCCAAAAATATCTTTACACCACAAAAAATGACAAACAACATCGTCCCCGTACTATCTTATTTGACAATTTAATTCCACACTCCTCCTGTAGAGGGACGTGCCCGACTTAAACCCAGAGCGGTCCTGCTTCCAGCGTCTCGAGCGTGCGGCAGGACCTGCCGAGCGGCGAATTGACAGGATGCATCAGCGATGCTGCAGCAGACTCTCTCTCGTCACAGAGCCCCGCGTCAAACGTCCCTGCAGGCTTTCCGTTCCACGACAAGAAGCGCATCCTGTATTTTTCTCGGCAAACAATGTTTGGTGCACCCTATTATAATCGAAGTCTCCGCCACCCCGCGCGGGGCCATGAGTGGTAGCGACAAGAAGCGCATCCTTCGCCTTGCTGTGATTCGTACGCAGGAGGGCGAAAGTCGGATGCTCTTTGCACTTGGCGTTGAGGGGCCGCTTTCGTGTCCCAGACCTGTCAGAGAAGGACCCGCGATGATAGCATGGGTCCAGGGCCGGGGTCAACGCCACATGGATCCAGGACGTAAAAGGAGTAAGGCAACTCACGACGTTAGTTAGCTGTCTGGGAGGGAGTCTAACACACTTCGACACCGATCATAACAAACGTAATGGTCGCTGGATCCAACACCGGCCCAATCATATCCTACCACGCACTGCAAGACAGGAAGGGCAGAGGAGAGGACGAGCGAGGAGGGGAGAGGCAGAACAGGAGGGGAAGGACAGAGGACGAGCGGGTGGGACGAGGGATTCCGAAAAGGGAGTGCCAGGAGTGGGGTGGGGGGGGGGAGAGGAGGAATATCCTGAGTATCGCTTAACCGATCCCCATCGCATGGGCCCCACTGGCCGGTTTACCCCCCCAAGATGGGGATACAGGCCGTTCCCTTCGGGTTTCCAGGGGTGCATCCCCAACTGGGGTGGTAATTTGGTGGGGGTCTCGAAGGGGATGGGGATGGGGATAGGGATCGGTTAACCGATACTGAGAGGAGGCACATCCGTGAGCATCCCCTCCTGCCCCGCGGTGCGGAACAAAACAGGCGTGGGCGGGAAGCTGTGCACAACCCCGCGGCCTCGCGGGGGACTCGGCCCCTCGGCCCCGACCCCACGAAATGCAGGGGGGGCCTCTCCCGCGGCTGCCCCGCGGGGGAAACACCCCATGCGACCGCGTATTCCATGGGAACGCGGCACGGCATCCAGACTGCGAGGGCGTGGATGTGGGCCCAGACATGATTGCGTCGAAAAAAAAGCAGGACGGCAAATGTGTCTCTATTCTCGGCCCTTGGGGGCCCTTGCCAGGCCTCGGGACCGTCAAGCAACGACTCAGGACGACAAAGGGGTCCCGAGGAACGGGTCGGGACTTCCAGGGACGCCGTCCTGAAGAAATCAAGACGTCGCATGTCTGGGGATACGTTCGCTCCTCGTGAGGGCAGGGGGCGAGGACGAGGAAGACAAGGCTTTTCCCACCCTCGCCCTCGGGGACCTTCCGGAACTCGTTCAACGACTCCTGCACCGACGACTCGGCCTTGAGCCCCGGGAGCGTGGGCCTCGATGACCGCGCCGCCCAGCGGCTGGGGCTCCCTCTGCTGAACGACCCCCTCTGCGACGGTCTTCGCGGAGGTTCTGCGTCGATCGATCCTCGATGACCCGCCAGCATCCTGTGCCCGTCCATGTAACGCGAGCAAGGCCGGGATCCGATGGCTGCCGCTCGAGCCCGGCCTCGAACGGTGGTGCAAAGGCGCAAGGCGTTCCGGCAAGGCGGGCAGAACACCTCTGCCGCGGATCGCGCAGGGCCCGAAGAGAGCGGGGAGCCTGGCCGGGAGCTCGCGCCACGTCGCATCGCGCCCCCATCGGTCACGCGGGGCCTGATGCAAGCCAGGGTCGTCGCCTCGCAACACGCAGGGCCGGATGGCCGCTGGAAACACCAAATTTGCACACCCGCGCGGTGACGAGTATACTGTCGGATCTACGACAAAAGAACATGCTTCAAGAACATGAGACCCTCCGCCAGCCCAAACCGAAAAACATTCCCGGGCACCCCCTCCCCCAGGATGCACAAGCGCATCCCCCAAAAAAACACGGAGAACAGTGGGGTACCCTCCCCGCACAGACCTCGATCTGAGACCTCGGTCAGACCGTATCCTGGTTCCTCCCCCTCCCGCCGAGACAGCGTTCCACGGCGGCGTGCGTGTGCTACCCCCCCCCCTCCTCCCCCCCGCACCTGGTGCACGACCTTGGGTACAAGGAAAGAATTACTGAACACTCCCCCTCCCCCAACTCAACGTTGGCACGCGCGGAAAACACTGCGGTCGAAGTGCATCTCATCAGACCCACCGCCAACTTTGAACATTGGGGGGAGGGGGGAGGCGTTGACAGATGAATTTGGCATGAGTGTTCGCTAATTTGTTCCGAGGCCTCTTCGGGGGCCGCGGGAGGGCCAAACCCATGCGCGCACGGCGCTGCCTTCGCCTCGCGTCCACTCCTCGGGGGTCCCCAGTGCGCCCGCGCCAGGGGTCGTTCCTCCGGAAGGTCACGCGCAGCAGAAAAAAGTCCGCCACGGGCGGGTGGGGCGCGGGTGGGGCGCGCGTCTGTCGTGGGTCGCGGGCGGGTGGGTCGCGGGTGGGTCGAGGGGTGGGCCGCTGGGTGGGTCGCGGGGCGGGTCGCGGGGGCGACGGCGACAACAGCCACAATCATTTCAAGCCTGTTCGCTCTTATCTGCTTGCGTGCCAAGCTACACGTATGTCCCAAACCATCGATACTCGCCCTCTTCGAGGTCGCTCGTACCCCCTTTGAGGGTAGATCTTGCTTAGCTGAAACGTGCATTTGGCGGAGACCCTAAAACAGGTGAAAGGAGGACGGACGGAAAGACGTGACAAGGGGGAGGGAGAATAATGGAGCACGAGTACAGCCTGTCCTCTGAATGCAAAAAACGTAGTGTCAACAGCGTAGCGTCGCAGAGTAGAAGCGTACAGTCTCTCCTCTTAATGCGAACAACGTAGTGTCAACAGTGTAGTGATAATTCACCCTGCGTTACGTAGTGTCAAAAGCGTAGTGATAATTCACTGTTGGAATGTTTAATTCAATGTTGGGAGATATCTTGGAGCACGAGAGATTTTCAGGAGGGGGTCCAGAGCAATAGTACAAGCGGGCCTCACACACTGATGTTGTATATTCAGGGGACGTGTCGATTCCGCATGGACTCCATGCCGAATCTGCATCGAACGCATGTCGAACCTGCCCTAGTCGAGTGCAAGTAGAATCAGCGCCGAATCCACGTCGAATTCGAATCGAACCCATGCTGGACACAATACACAATAACAGACGTAGCAATGACAGGACAAACGAGGCTCGCCGAAGATGAGGAGTAACATGCGATGCGTAGTACCTGTAGACAGCGCGTCCCGTGTGTGTGTGTGTGTGTGCGTGATTTCGGGCCGCCTGGGCCGTCACACGCTGCTGCCCGCTGCCGTGTGTGTGAGTGTGTGTGTGTGCGTGTGTGCGTGTGTGTGTGTGTGTGTCTGTGTGTGTGTCTGTGTCTGTGTCTGTGTCTGTGTCTGTGTCTGTGTCTGTGTCTGCGTGTCGTTCCCCTGCGGCCCCATTGCTCCCGCCCCGCCCGCACGCGCGCCACCAGGAGCAGTAGCTACGCGGCCTGCAGCGGGAGCCCCGCATCCAGGCATGGCCAACACGCCCGAAGGCACAGCGCCTCCTCTCGCCCACTTCTGCTGGCTTCCGCCCCCGCTCGGTCTCCCTTTTTTACGCCGAACGAATCGAAGGAGCTTCCCTCGACGGGAAGCGTCCTCCAAGGAACGTTTCCTGGAAAGAAGTTTGTACGCCGCTGGCGCTTTTCCCCCCGAGAGATACTGTCCCAACGAAGGAAGTGACCCCTTTCGGGGACCTGTGTGGGTAAAGATGGGCTGGACATGGGCAGGCTGACCCCTGCGCACAACGGGAGCGACACAAGCGGCCCTTGTGGGAGAGGACGCAAGGCACGGACCGCAAGCGAACGCAGAAAGAAATTTGGAACCGGGGGGCGGCGAAGGACAAGCAGGGGAAGACGGAGGAATGGGGAACAGAGCGCGCTTAGGCCCCAGAGATCAGACAGCCTACCTGATGCATGCAACACACCTGCACCGCCATGGCACGGCCGTGAGACATGACAGCCTGGTCCCCCGGGCGCACTCTTCACCCGTGTGGTCCGAAACGGGTCCTCAGGGAAACGCGTCCTGGACCCGCGGGGGCCCTCCCCAAGACCGGGGGAAATAGAAAGGTACAGTCGGACTCGATTGGACAGGACACGCGAGAGGACACAAGACCCTTCCGAGGGCCACATTCAGGCGTTGGTAGAACTGGGTTTAGTCGAACCTGGTTTAGTGATCTGTACCGGGGGCGCCCCCCCGTCCCATGTCCACTAACCGGAACTGCCGTCACCCGAAAAACCACCAGCTATGGCAAACCTGGTTTAGTGATTCTGGCCAATTCGAAGGCTCTGGGGCCCTACCACTAACCGGGTCCCCTTACCCGAGGTCCTGGCCACACCCGACACATTGCCACAGGAATGTAGGATGCATGGGCCGCGAGACGCAGGACACAAGGGCACCCTTGATTCGGCAGGGTCGACCTACTAATCTGGGCCGACTGTATACACACTGCCACTCCACAGACCTCTCTTGAGGCGCGTTCGGACCAGGATGTCCAAGCGAATCCAGCCGTGACGACGAGGGCCTCCCAGGAGGCTCAAACAGGCGTAGCGGCATCAGTACCTTTTTCCTCATCTGGAAGACAAGCATTTCGTGTTAACTGTTTTCGGACATCCCTGGAGCGTTCGGAAGTCCTCGGGAAGCCAAAAACAGCAGAACCCCGCGAGACCCGTTTGTTTCAGGCACCGCTTTGCCTTCATGCCGAAACCATCACCGCTCGCCCATGTTCGCCGGATCGACTCCTGTGCTGGTCCTGGGGCCCGAGGCGGGGCAAGACAGCCCCACGTGTCTTGGCTGGCGGCACCCGGGACTCACGATCCGTCCTCGCATCCTTTGGGGATCCACTGACCCGTGTTGATGCAAACCCGGGTCAGTCAGGCCTTGCAGGATCCTGCAGGATCCTGCAGGATCCTGCGCCCAAGCCCGGGCCAATGCACCCCTGGCTCTGCAAGATGCTGCAAGATCCAGCGCTCTGGCTGACACCCGTTTGCATGCGCCCCCGTCTCTTGAGCACCGGACGCGTCCTTCCCAGAGATCCGACGTCCTGATTTTTTCAGGACGGCGTCCCTGGAAGTCCCGACCCTTTCCCCAGGACCGGTTTTTCATCCTGAGCTGTTTTTTGACGGTCCCAGGGCCCAGCGAGGGCCGCTAGATGCCGAAAGTCGAGAAGAACCTCCGTCCTGATTTTTTCAATGCGTTGGAGGTCTGGGCCCGTCTCTCGAGCACCGGACGCGTCCTTGCCGGCGGCGCCCGGGTCTCGCGATCCGCCCTCGCCATCCTCTGTCCGCGGAGGCCTCCCAGGGGCCCCCAGACCTCTGCCGTCCCGGGCCCTCGATCACCAGCATGTCGGCCACGGGCCACGGACAACGTGACGAGGTGCCCAACAGCAGACGTTGTCAAAGACCAGCCGCGGTCGCTGCTGGGCGAACGGTCAGCGTCCGCGGCGACACCGACGGCGAGTCCTGTCAGATCTGAGCAGGGGCTGCTGTCCGTCTGCGTCTCCGGCTGTCCATCGCACCGAGATCAGCCGGGGCCTTCTCGCTCTTCGCGTTCTCGCCGCCCGCCACAATCCCGCATACCTGAGGTGGAGCCAAAGTGGGGACTGGTTCAGGGGAGGAAACACTGAGTCTGAATCGGCGATGAATCACCGATGAATCAACGGTCGGCTCCCGATGGCAAATCCGCACCTGCCTGGGTGGGGCGGGCTATCGTACCCTTATTAGCGATCGGTGGGCGATTGGGGGTCGGTGACATCCCGCCTGGGCCTACGGTCGGGAACTTTGGCTCAGCGCGTCGCGGCGGCGGCCACTGCGACACGCTGTGCCTTGCAAGCTGGCAGCGTGTCGCCGTGCTCCGCGGGACGGGGCGAGGCGGAGGAGAAGCTCGGGACACCGCTGCCCGGGACACTGCGACATGCCCACAGCCCTCGTGCTCCCACCAGGAACGCACAAGCAGGAAGGACAGGGCCTCCTCCGGCCACGGCGGGCTCCACGGCAGAACTCGATGGCACGGCCCGGACCCCCGAGCCCCTCCTGAGAGCAGAGCGATCCTCGCTTCAGCGCCCTGACTGTGGAACGTCGCGCCGAAGCGTGGTGGACCAGGAACGGCGGCGCGACGCGCGTTCCCGACCCTCCCGTTGCCGGCCAATGCCTCGCACCTGAGGCCCTCAGGCGGCCGTGCGTGACGGCCCGAGCACCCCAAGGAACGCTTTCGGCGGGGAGCAGCTGCCGGAGAGCATCCGGAGGCTGGAACTCCAGCGAGAACCAACGAAAACGCTTCCGGGGCAGATCCCCCCTCTAACGCCACCCCTGGGGTCCGTGACCGTATCACCCCCCGTCTGATCGTTGCCCACAAGCACCAACGACGGCACCATCCGCACCAGCCCAGCAGCCACCTGCGCCGTCTGCGCGGCCAGCTCCTTCGTCGGCGAGAGGACCAGCGCCAGTGTGCCTGATCGAGGAGGATCAGCCCTCCTCTTTCCTCCTCCTCCTCCTCCTCCTCCTCCTCCTCCTCCTCCTCTTCCATG